CCACGGGCCGCATGGTTGCAAGATACAAGCCAATCACAGACTCGGGGCAGCCGAGTTTGGGATTCGCCAAAGGCTCAAAGCGGTGCGCTTTGGCGAGAGCGAGTGCGAATGGCCCGTTGGCGTCAATCTGACCTGCGTGCGTCCAGTCCGTCCAGTCCAACAAGCACAAGCACCGTGCCGGCCCAACAAAACCCCCGAAGGGGGAGGTGGTATGGGACTGCCTCGCCTGCAGAACCCTGCCGCGCGCGAGAGTCATGCTCCGGCCTTGAAGATGGAGGGGGTTCCCTCGACGCATTTTCTTAGTTTACTTGCGACTGGCATTCGATGCTCGGGAGCAGCCGACATGAGCGGTCCGTAGCGTCATTCATCCTCGAACCTTCGTTGCTGAAGCCGAGTGCGAGGCAGACAATCATCTCGGGTCATTGACGTGGCCGCACCTCACTCTCTCTCTCCTCAGCGCTCTCTAAAGGGGAGCTCGAGTCCCCATGGCTGTGCCAGTGACTCGGCCGTAATTGTCGGTGCTTCAAGGTCCAACAGAGAGCATCAGGAGCATTTTATATCCACTCGCCGCCACCAACCTGCTTCTGCCAGGGGCGCCTAGTTCTGACGACGGCCACCGTCTTAACCCCTAGATCGCCTCTCACATTTTGATCTCTGTAATATCAGTACTTCAACTCAGCCTCACAACCGCCATGTCACCAACCGACAGGGAGAGCAGCTCTCCGGCGCCGGGTTCGCCCCTTAAACACCCTCCCGAACCGCCTACAGCCGCAAACGAAGAGCCCCAGTCCGGCGTCCTAACAGACAACGACACCACCACCCCCGACGAAAAACACCTCGGGCCCCAAAGCATCCCCAAGCTCCGTCTCATCGCGCTATCCACAGGGTAAACAAACAACAACAACCCCCACTGCCCCTTCATCCTTCACTCACCACTAACACCCCCTTCCAGCGTAAGTCTCGGCCTCTTCCTCTCGATGCTCGACTCCTCCATCGTCGCCACCTCGCTCTTCACCATCGCCGTCGAGTTCGGCGACGTCGACGCCATCAACTGGGTTGCCCTGGCCTACACTCTCACCTACCTCAGCTGTGCGGTGCTGTTTGCACGCGTGTGCGACGTCGTGGGCCGTCGCGCGGCGTTTGCGGCCGCCTACGTAGTGTTTATCGTCTTCTCGATGGCGTGCGGGTTTGCGCAGAACATGGGACAGCTGATTGCTTTTCGGGCGGTGCAGGGGTTGGGGGGGAGTGGTGAGTCTTTGTTTTTTGTTTTATTTGAAGGATGGAGGAAAAGAGGGCTGACTTACTTGGGATAGGGCTGTATAGTGTGGCGATGATCATCCTGCCCGAGGTGACACCGGACCGGGCAAAGAAGTACATTGCCGCCGTGGTTGGGTGTGTGCTGGCTTCTGCGGGGGTTTTGGGGCCGGTGTTGGGAGGGATATTGACGCAGTACACGAGCTGGCGATGGGTGTTTTGGATCAAGTTTGTTTCCCTGTTTATGCGGATAGGGGGTGTTGCTGACACAGTGATAGTGGCCCCCTCGGCGGCGTCTCCCTCCTTGTTTTCCTCCTCGCCTGGCCAAACAAGAAATACCTCCCCTCCCTGGAACGCCGCGCCTGGAAAGATGTCGACTTTGTCGGTGCCTTTCTCTTGTAAGTCCCCCTTCCCCTTTTCACTCCTCACCCCCTAACACCCCCCTACAGAATCGCCTCCGCCACCCTCATAGTCTTCCCCTTCCAAAACGCCTCCGAGTCCCCGGCCTGGTCCTCGGCCATCTTCCTCGCGCCCCTCCTCACGGGGCTCTTTGCCCTGACCAGCCTCTTTGCCTGGCAATCCTTCCTCACCCGCAAGGGTAGCAACAACAAACTCGCCCTCGCCCTCCCCCCCATCCTCCTCCGCAACCGCGCCTACGCCGCCGCCGTCCTACGTATGTCAAATCCATGCTCTTTTCCCCCATTTACGGGTTTCCCTGGCTCTCGGTGGCTCGCGAGGCCTACAGCGCCTTTGTGTGTTCCGAGCTGTTCCCGATGCCCTGAGTAGGGAAAGGAATGGCTGACATTGTTGGACAGACACCATGCTCACGGGCTTCCCCTACCTCCTCAGCATCTACGCCTTCCCCGTCCGGTTTCAGGTCGTCTACGGCCGCAGCGCCCTGCAGGCGGGGCTGATGCTGCTGCCCATGCTGGCCGCGTCGGCGGTCGGGACCGTGGTTGCCGGGGCGGTGAATGGGGGCAAGAAGAAGCAGAGGTTCTTTGAGACGCTGCTTGTTGCGTGCGCGCTGATGATGATTGGCTGTGGGCTGGAGTGCACGGCGGGGGATGGGGCGGTGGTTGAGGCCAAGGTGCTGGGGTTTTTGGTGTTTGTTGGGCTGGGGTTTGGGCTGTCGGCTGCTGGGGGGACTATGCTGGCTGGGGCGGAGGCGCCGGTTTTTGAGCATGGTGGGTTTTCTTCTTCTTCTTCTTCACTTCCTTCCTTCCTTACTCTCCTTGGAGTGATGCAATGCATGCTGGGGGCGTGAAAAGCTAACCGGGTTGTATACAGCATCTGCCCAGGGCATCGTCGCGCAGGTCCGCATCTTTGGCGGGAGCATCGGCATCGCGGCGTCGTCGGCCATTCTGGGGGCCAAGACCAGGGACGGGCTCGCCGGCGGGAGTGTGCCGCCCGAGATGCTGGCCCGTCTGGAATCGGACCCGTCGGCCTTGTCCGAGGAGCAGTGGGCGTCGGTCCGGCGCGTGTACACGGACGCGCTGAGGGAGGACATGATTGTGTGCTGTGCGGTGCTGGCTGCCGCCATGGTGGTCACGCTGGGGATCTACCGGCGGAATAGGGTATCGATGGAGGAGATGATGAAGCAGCGGTATCGCGAGGAGGGCGAGAGGAGGAGGGCGGCGGGCAATGGGCAGCAAAGCGGCCCTCGGGGAGGGGTTTAGGGTGGCTTTTGGGGGCTTGAGCGGATTTTGGATACCGCTTACATACTGCATGCTGGCTGGGTAGATAGCGGCAATGGTGTTTTTGGATATAAACAGCATGATTGGGCTGGATCGGATGCCTTGTCCCTGGGTGTTTAGAGGGGTGGTTAAAAAGGGGTAATTCAGGGGCAGTGGGATTCGGCATGAGATGACCAGATTCATCCAGATTTACGGTTGAATTTATCACCACACTTCCTCTTGAAGCCAGGCCATCACCACACCTAGTTGCTCCCTCCGTTCCGACTCTCACGCCTTTGCCGTCCTCCCCTGGCGATCATGTTATCCTGACACCCGGGTAAGAAAGGAGTGACAGTGCGGGGTAGCTGCTTATCGCCGGCGCGGTGGAGGCGATGCGGGGTGTTTTCCGGGGCCGGCCCGGCAACGGCATTCACCCGCCTCAGTGACAGTCAGTGGTGGACCGCCCACGAGATGGCGTCAGCGCCGACTCGGCGGGGGTCACAGTCCCATCGCACCCTTAATACTCCCGCTCCCGGATCTCGAACTACTTCCTGCCATGTTCTCACGGACAACAACAACCACCACCAAAAGAATCATCACCACCGCCCGCATCCTCACCTCCCACTCCCGCCCCCATTTCCCCTTCCCGCCCTCCTTCACCTCCAGGTTCTTCAACCCACCACCAACAACCAAAGTCAGAACCATGTCCACCGCCGCCATGACCAAGCGCCTCGAGGGCAAAACGATCCTCATCACGGGCGCCTCGTCGGGCATCGGCCGGAGCTGCGCCTTCGAGTTTGCGCGCACCGCGCCCCGCAATCTCAAACTGGTGCTCACGGCGCGGCGCGCGGACCGGCTCCGGGAGATCGCGGCGCAGATCCGCGCCGAGGTTGGCGAGGGGGTCCAGGTGCTGCCCGTCGAGCTCGACGTGGCCGACCCGGCGCAGGTGCGCGGGTTTGTCGGGGGGCTGCCGGAGGACTTTCGGGGGATTGATGTGCTGGTTAATAACGCGTGAGTTTTTACTTTGTTGGCTGGCTTGGGGAAAGCGATGGTTGCTGACCTGTGGCTTTAGGGGGCTGGTGAAAGGAGGTATGAGATTTTGGTGGTTTTGCGTTTGGAACCGGAGACTCGGAGAGAGGAATGAGTGAATGAATACCTTGGCTAACTAAAATACGGCAGTCGCCCGCGCCCCTGAGATCGCCGCGGACGACATCAACATCATGTTCCAGACCAACGTGACCGGCCTGATCAACATGACGCAGGCCGTGCTGCCTATCTTCAAGGCCCGCCCCGACGGCGGCGCCGGCGACATCATCAACATTGGCAGCATCGCCGGCCGCGAGCCCTACCCCGGCGGCAGCATCTACTGTGCTACCAAGGCGGCCGTGAGATCTTTCACGGATTCCCTGCGCAAGGAGCTGATCGACACGCGGATCAGGGTCATGGAAGTCGACCCGGGGCAGGTCGAGACGGTGGGTTATCCGGACGGGATCCCGCTGGACGGTGCTGATGTTGTGCAAATAGGAATTCTCGGTGGTCCGGTTCTATGGTGACAAGTCCAAGGCTGATGCCGTTTATGCGTAAGTGGTGTTTGTTGTAACGAGACACACAGCAACTAACCTGAACAGTGGCTGCGACCCCCTGACTCCTGACGACATCGCCGAGGTCGTGGTCTTCGTCGCCGGAAGGCGGCAGAACGTGGTTATTGCCGACACGCTGATCTTCCCAAGTCACCAAGTAAGTTGCCGTGGAGGTTTTATCTGCGCAAAGAATACTAACCGCTCTCCAGGCCGGTGCTGGGACGATGCACCGGAAGCAGACATGACGGGGGTTATCCGAGTCAAGAAGTAGTTAGAGCTGGAATAAGCAGATAGTAATAGCGGCCTATAGACCATATAGATGATACAACCAGTTCCACTGCTCCCCTCCGTCTTCTCAAACCCCCTCTTCTTAGACTTCTGGTGATGCTCAGGTGGTGCTAACAAGGGGCTGGACATAGTTTAACCCTAACTCTTTAATAACGCTAATCCTACATAATTTACAGATTTTAAAACATGCCCCAACACGCGACAGGGTTGTGTAGTGTAGCGGTTATCACTCTGGATTTTGACTTGCTGTTAGATCTTCCAGTAACCCCGGTTCGAACCCGGGCACGACCTCACCTTTTGTTTACTCCATGTTCCCCCCCCCCCTTTTTGACAATTACTCGAGATGTTCAGCTGTTGTCGCTCTCATTCTATTTCTTTCATTTTCGTAAATTTCGTTGGTTTTCAACATGGGTTTAGCAGAATGAAGTCTCAAGTTGGAATGTTTCTCTGAGCTACTCTTGCCCAAACTCTCGCATTTGCTGTCCCTGACCCTTGATTTGCGAACCACACCGTTTCCGAGGGATGTGACTACTGTAACCCTTTCAGGGCTTCGTTGTCCGCGGAAGTAACGGTACTTGGCGTCCAGTCATGTTGCTACCTTCTCTTTGTTTTGGTTGATCTAGTATCGAGGCTCTGCATCTCGGCATCTTGGCCCCTTTCCTTCCATGAGCAGTATTCTGCTCGTTACTCAGCCTAGTTGCGCAGATAAATCCTCCGATTCTGCGGCTGCCATATTGCAAAGCAGACAGCTCCGGGGCGTGGGTGCTCTGAGTCTCGTCTACCGAGGGACATTCTTCGACGCAACTTACACGCCTGGCCAGGGCGAGTAGGTGCGGCTACCCCGAACAGATTGCATCAACACCACCACTGTCACCAAGAGCATTAGCATACCCATCTAGGCAATCCGGTCGCCGTCGGGTGTACACAGTAGGGACAGGGGCGAGCGTCGGGTGCGCCACAACTGCTGGCTGCAGTTTCAATGTTTGTGCATGACGTCAGGCGTGTTGAGCTCTCCGCTTCACGACCGCTGACCACTCCCGCGATTGGACGTCAGGGGGATACCCTCAGATGCATGACTGCTGCACTGCCACTGTCGTTGTAATGTACAGGCAATACCTGACTTCCACAACAACGCGCGCTCAGCTGCTAATTACTGTACTATCATGATGATACTGCTCGAATGTCGCGTGATGCTCCTCAAAGCTTCTGCAGATGTGATTGGAAGGGACCGGGCAAACGGCAATATCGGGACTGGCAGATCGATGTCACTGTCCGATATTGCAGTGAAGTTGCCATCTCGCAACAGGCCATGGGCAAAAGACAAAGCCGTTGTATGCCCAGTCGAGCGGGGCAACACCACGAGGGGACCTGACGGGAGCTTCAACAAAGCAGAGAGAAGAGGGGCAAAAAGCCACACGCCTGGACCTGTGCTTCTGCTCCAGCCCAACCCTGCCCGATTCGGAAGACTACACAGTGACTGGTGTCTTACGCTGTGAGATATACTACCCCGCCAGTCTCAGACGCCTCGCGCCGAGACTAAACTGCGCTCAGACACTCCCCTGACGTCTTTCGGACCTGACCTTACTTACCTATCCACCTGACTCTGACCTCCCCTCTTCTCCTCTTTTGTGATCAACGACGACTGCAAACTGAATGAAGCATCGCCATCTTTCTTGAACCAGCACCACAAGAGCATCTCTGAGCTACAACTATCCGCGATGGCAGGTACGGCGCCCCCCTCCTATACCATAGTATCACCTCTTCGATTCACCTCGAGCCCCTCAGCTTCCCAGCAGTTTACAGTCTACTAACCGCGCTCGCCCAGACGACCGAAAACAAAGTAACACTAGCACCAACTCCAACTCGAACAGCCCAACAGCCCAACAGTTCCCACAGCAAGGGACAGCCAAGCTGGAACAGGCCGGTCCCTCGAGCCCGACGTCCGACTTGGCTCCGACAGGAAGCCGGGACCGGCGAGACAGCGCCGAGTGGGGTGCGTATACCCTCACCATCTTCACAATCCTCTCCGCCTGCTCAACCACACGCCACGCAAACATCGCATACCAGCATAACCCAGCACGCACCACTCCCCTCCTCTCTAAACCCGTCCCCGTATTCAACTGCCCCCCCCCTACCCCCCCCCCCCCCCCCCTTCCTTTCCACCCTCACCAAAACCACGCCGCATCAACAACTCGAGTAGTATACTGACGTGAACCAAAAAAAAAAAGACGCCTCCAAAGTCCCCCCCTCCCGCTTCCAGAAGCGCAAGGGCTCCATCTACGCCGTCCCCCACTCGCGCGACGGCAAGATCGATAGAAACTACCCGTCCAAGTACTTTGAGAAGCTGGCCGAGATGGGGTACGCCAAGAAGTGAAACGCCTTTTCCCCCTTTTCCCTTCCTTTTCTTTCTGAACTTTTTGTAATTTTTTGTATGTTTGGTCTTTTTGGGGGGATATCATCATGGTATGATAATGTTGGAGGGTGTACTGTGTGTGTGAATTGGGTGGTTTCATGGGGGGTTGAAGTAATTGAGCTGTGATTTGCGATCTGTACATGTATGGGCAGAAAGGGGGCATTTGGCTGGTTGGCTCGTCTCATGTCTTCATCTTGTTTGAAGTTGGGATGGAACAGGCGAGGCGGGTTGTATTTCGAGTGAATGGCTGGAAATTGGGCAAGTTGGAGAAGTGGTTACACATTGAGAGAGACGACTGCCAGACACCCGGTACGGGGAGTCCAAAACAACAAGAATGCTTCGTACCTGATAGGGGGACCGAGTTTATTCGTTGGTCCGTTCGATCCCGCTTCAACCTGAAAACTGAAGAGTATTGCGATAACCCGCCTATCCTGCCCCCAAAATAAATACTTTGTCTCTCTTGCCCATCTCCACGGAAAAGCATACACCGCCCCCGCCCCAAAGTACAGAAATCATGTCATTCGTCCATATCGTCAAGCTCGATGGCGTCCGGGTTCGACACCTCGACCGGCTGGCTGGCCACGTTCCCCTTGAGCCCCTCGGACGCGGCGACAAACCCGGCCGGCGCGCGGGCCTGCCTCTCGAGCTGCTCCATGGCGTCCACCACCTCCTGGTCGACCTCCTCGCCGCCGTTCTGCTGCCGCTGCAGCTGGCTCTTGGCGAGCGCCTGCGAGGCGATAAAGTTGACGTCCGTGTTGTACTGGGCCTGGACGCTGCGCTTGATGCGGAGCATCTCCTTGAACGTGTCCTCGTTGCCGTGCTGCACCTCGAACTGCTCCCACTTGGACCAGAAGTCGGGGTTCGTGCGCGGGTCGCAGAACTGCGACGCGTGCCCGTAGATGGCCCGTGCCCGGTCGATCTCGCCGAGCCGCTTCTCCATGTCGGCGAACTTGAGGCACATGTCGCGCGCCTCGTTGTCCGGCAGCGTCGCAATGGCGCGCTCGTAGATGGGGCGCGTCGAGGGCAGGCCAAAGTTGGACGCCGACTTGGTGATGTAGAAGTTGAACATGTCGGCCCGGTCTTCGTCCGATACGGCCCGCGTGGCGCGCTCGTAGATGCGCATGGCGTGCCGCGCCAGCCCGCGCTCCTCCTCGAGGTTGCCGTACATCAGGTAGATGACCTTGGCGAACTTGGGCGGGCAGTCGAGGACCGCCTGCTCGAACAGATCTCTGAGCCGCTCAATGCCGATCTTGCGATCGACCGCCTTGGTGAGGTAGAGATTCCACAGCTCAAAGGCGACCGGGTAGCTGAAGAGATCGAGACCGCGCTCGTAGATCTTGAACGACTCCTCAAAGTACTTGTGCTCCTCGAGGAGGTTGGCGTAGTTGACCACGGTTTGCGGTGTCGCGATCCGGAGCTCGAATATCCTCTCGTAGACTTTCTTGGTCTCGTCAAGCGAGCTCACACTCTCGACAAGGTCGACGTAGAAACTCCACAGCTTCCAGCTCTTGTGCACCCGTTGTTGTGGTGATAGCGTCTCGTCAAAGTAGTCCACCGTCGATCTCTTGGGCGCCTGTGTCGCCTTGGCCATGATCCTGACGGCCTCGTCAAAGTTCTCGTTCCGCAGCTCCATCTCGGCCCATTCGATCCACATGTCGGCGAGTTCTGCCACCGACTTGAATGGAACCTTCACCGCCTTCTCCATGATAACGCGGGCATTGCGCAAGTCGCCCCCTTTTTCGTAGAACTTGGCGTAGTTGGCCCATAGCTGGTGGAATGGGCCGACGGCCTTCTTTGGTTGGATGGCGGCAATGGCATCCGTGTACGTCTGCACCACCTCGTGGTTGTTCTCGCCCCATAGTGCCACCCGCTTCTCCCACTCGGTGACGTTATTGGGATTTTGCCGAAGGAGAACGTCGTTCAGGAGGAACGGTCGGCGGTCCATGAGGTGCTCAAAGCGCATCATGCGGATGTCGAGATCGAAGTCGGCCCCCTCGTCCACCACGCCCTTCTCGGCTCGTGTTGAGGCGACCTCCATCAGCGCGCCAATGATGGACTCCTCAAACTCGGTGTACGAGTCAAACACCAGCGTGAAGTCCCGCACCGTCATGACCGTGGTGATGCCCTCCTCGAAGACGTCTCTTGCCCGCTCGAAATTGCCCCGCCGGATCCAGTAGGTGGCCAAGCCGCACCACAGCTTCCCTCTTTGGTCGCCGAATCGTTCGATTCCGCTCCGGATGATGGCTTCCACGTCGATGTCTGCCTCGTGGCCCGTGTCAATGTCGACCGCGTGCTCGACCAGCAGATCGACCATTTCGCTCCATAGCTCGTAGTGCCCCTTTGCGTTTTTGCTCTGGAAGCGCGGGTTGTTGAGAATGTCGGTGTACTTGTTCACGGCCTCGGTGTACAGGCCGGTGTGGACCAGCAACTCGATGAAGTCCTCGGCGTCTTCGGGGTGGACCTGCATGTATCGCCGCCAGATCTTGACGGCCGTCATGCCTTCGGCCGAGTTCGCGAACGGCCGGTATAGCGCCCATATCCTGTTGTGCTGGGTGATGGGGAGCGCTCGGAGCGCGCGGTCGAAGGCGCGTCGGGTGAGCGTCACGAGCGGCTGCTGCATCAGGAACTTGAGGTACATCTCCCATATCCTGGGCATCTTGTTGAGGAGAATCAGCGCTCGTTCGAACAGCGCATTGACCTTCTGGTACTCAGCGGCGAAGATGGCGGCGTTGAGCTTGGCGATGTGCTTCGTCCTGAACCGGAGATACTACCAAGGGTTAGAGGCGACGCGGTGGCTGGCGGGATTGGGAACCTACCATCTTCCACAGCTTGTACGACCGCGGCAGCTGGACGCATGCCCGCTCCATGACAAACGCCT